ACTCCTTCCTCTCAGCATTTCCATACGATTTTCTGAGTTTCTACTCCTTCGTTCTGCATTGTTTTAACTTCAAACAAAGCAACTGTAAGTGTGATTTGCTACCGAACTTTGTGTTCGCTGAAACACTGGGGTTTGAAGTATCGCTACACCAGTGTGTGATTCGTTCTATCCTGGGAGGAAATAATCCATTACCTTGGGTACTAGGAGGGGATTAAATTCCTTAAGGAAATACTGTGAATTCAGTGGGCTCGAATTAATTACCTGTTTTATTACGATAACTTATATCTTGCAGAATTATTATTTACAAATACAGCAATATTGGCGGGACTAACACATCTATAGCAAACTTTTCATTGCAATCAAACCCAAATTCCCCAGTAAAAATCACCTAAAAATTATATTCTAGAATGGCAAGTTACGTTGTTGTTCTTGTCTACTTTGTTACTTTTACACTTCTTACCATTTTCTTTCCTCGAACTCTCGCTGTAACAATCCGGAGTGGCCTTATGCATAGGACTCGTGGTTTTGTCGCGAACATCTCGATTGGTGAGCCCGCCATGTACCAGCTTGTACTAATTGACACGAGTAGCAACAAATTCTGGATACAATGCTACCCCTGTGTCAAATGTAGCAACCAAAAAGAAATTCCGCACTTCTATCCCGCTAATTCATCAACATATGTTGTAGAGCCGTACAACTCTCATATGTGTGGTGTGTATGGAGGTAAACGAGGTGACAAAGGCGAGTGCTTATACAAATCAAAGTTCCCCGATCAGAGTGTGTCCACTGGAACCCTTGGCCGAGACACTCTTCAATTCACTACATCTGACAACGGGACAATGATGGTTCCGAGGATAGCTTTTGGGTGTGGAACGCATAATGCTGGAGGTGGATTTGGCGACGAGTATTGTGGTATACTTGGTTTAGGACCCGGTGAGACATCACTAGTGAGACAAATAGGGTCGTCCCAATTTTCTTTTTGCATTGGCAGCCTTATTATTAATGATCCATATAGTCACCTTATTATAGGTGATGGAGCAACGATAGAGGGGAATCCAACACCCTTTGAAATTTATCAAGATTCGTACTATGTTAAGTTGGATGGGATTAGCATTGGAGAAAAACAACTTGCAATAGACAGAAAATTGATTACAAATTTTGTTACATTTGACTTGAGAACTCCAACAACCTATTTGCATAAAGGAGCTTATGAAGTGTTGAGTGCAGAGGTGACGAGATTAACAGAAGGAAAATTGGAGCTTGTGGATATGGTAAGCGACCGCTTATGCTTTTTTGGGACATATCTCAAAGGATGTAAGAGATTTTCCGGATGTTAGAATTCAATTTAGTGAAGGTGCTTGTTTAGCCTTGCCACCAGAATCTCTATTTGAACAAACTTTTGGAGATGCTTTTTGCATGACTATTCAGTAATCTGAAAAAAATCTCACAATTATAGGGTTATTTGCCATACAAAACTATAATGTTGGTTTTGACTTAGTGGAAAAACAAATGTACCTAGACTATGTTGAGTGTAAGATACCATAAGAGTAGGATTAAGATTTACTTTTAGGAATTGCTGCTGATATTGGTTAAGTTTATTTCGGAGATACAGTGCTTGCACTAAGTTGGCTAAATTTTGTAATTTAAATGTCCTTAGTGGCCTTTCTATGGGATGTAATATTTTGACACAATATTAGTATTAATATAAAAATTCCTGCTTTTCTCATAAATAGTTCAAAGCCAAATAACAAGTAAATAGTATTCTAGCCAAACGGTGTTTGGGTAATGAAAAATGTGTCTTTGAGGGGCAATCTAGGTATTTGAACTTTGATTAATTATGACATCTAAAGCTCATGTAATACGATCGATTTAAGATGTATGAAAATTGTCCTTATGTTAATCATCATTGTCATAAAGTTACAATGTACTCCTTCTACTTTATTTTTTATATATATGGTGATTGTGACGAGTACGAAGTTAAGAAAGAATGAAAAAAAAAATTGAAACCGGTGATATTAAATAAGTTATGATATTTTTCTGGTTAGAAAATACTATTAAGGTAAAATAAAAATTTAAAAGTTAAAATATTTTAAAATATAGCAAGATTTCTTTCTTTCTTTAACAAAAAAAAAAAAAGAGGAACATATAAGGGCATTTAAATTACACCAGTGTACCCACTAAGGACATTTAAATTTAAATGCCCTTAGTGGCCTTAGACAAGCTAATATGTCATCTCTCACTGGTGTTGTGACGCCTTTAATTTATTTATTTTTAATTGTATCTTCAAACATATTTCGAAACTAGTGGCATAAAGAGCAACTCATACGCTTCGACTATTTTTGGGATTATTTGTTTCGTTGTATCAATATATTAATGATTTTTTAGAGATTTAGGCAAATAAGGAAAAATCATCTTGAGTTCTATATATTTACTGCTTACTGAAATTTGAATTATGATCTCCTATTAGTTATCATTTCAACTTCGCCGATATCACGAAACCACAACTTGGATGCAAAAAAAAAAATATCTAATTTTTTTTTCTAGACTTTTCCGTAGACAGTTTAACAAGAAAATTGAGAAATCAGAATACTTTATTGTCGTTTGATGAAAATCTCACTTTATTGACAGGAGAACCAACTTGCTCTTGTTACATCATTTTCAACTTTGACGAGATTGTTCACAACGTTTATATTTTCACCTAATAAAATGAAAAGCAAAAATCATTCTCAAGACCATGGTTTGTTTTGAACTTAATAAATTAATATTTTTGGCACAAATTTCACAAATCGATTTTAAATGAGCTAAAAGTTTAATCACAACTTCCAAACAACAATCCGAACAAACCTCAGTCAAAAATTGGATCAAATATCAACAAGTTATCCAAAAAAAAAAAAAAAAGTGAATTTCAAGCTTTATCAAAACCCAACAAAGGTGTCTTGACTCTTGAACTCTCTTCAGTTAAATTTCTCAAATCAGTGCGCAACCACAAGTTTAAGCACAAATAGACAAACATCCATCGATTAATCAACAACAACTTCAGATTTTTGAACTTTCAAAATAAATTCAGATGATAAATTAATTGATGAAAGCCACAACGTTGATATGGATACTTCCATCTCCATTTTCTAAGAGAATGAATATTTTAGTAGAAAATTTACTTAATTGAGCAAAGATTATATGAAATTTATAACCAGAAGTTGAAACACCAAGTGCTTACCTAACTTGATTGAGATCTGAAAAAGAGATCAATAATGAAAAAAAAAATGACAAACAACAAAAATTATAAAATATGTGAAGTCTAGTATGTGTATATGTGGAAAAGCCAAAAGAATAGAAGGAAAGTGAAGGTTTCTATATTGAGATGGGTGGCCGGGTAATTACTAATTTAATATTAGTGGAGTATTATTTTGTGAAACTATTTTTAAGATGGATAAATGGGTAATAATTTGGGGCGTGCACAACGTAAGTTTTCGTTTGGCCATAGATTCCCAAATTTGTTTTTTGTTTTGAAAAATTTGATTTGGATGAAGTTTGGTTTGAAGATGAAAATGTGTTTGGACATAAGTTTTCAAACATATTTCACTTTTTTTTTTTGAAAAGACATGAAACATGACTTATACCCACAAGTTCTTAAAATTATCATAAATACCCAATAGAACATTTATCAATAACATTCATTATATTATCGCAAATCATAATCATGGACATAAATAAATTTGGTACAAAATTATCATTTTTATAATGAACTATATAATACACTATCGGATGACCAAGAGACAAAGCAGCATTGTTACAAAATAAGAAATGGTTGTCTCTTTTATAAAATATAAAAGTTTGGGACAATTTTTAAAAAAATATAATAGTGATATTTTGGGTCAAAACCAGCTCTTTTGGGATTTGGGTTTTAGGAATTTGTCAAAATATAGATAAAATCTATGGCCCAACATGTATTTGCCAAAAGACCCCAAATATATTTTGACAAAATCTATGGTCAAACTAGAAAGAGAGCATAATAAGTTTCGCTTGTTTCACTAGAAATTTTTTGGGATCAGTCAAAGTCATCAATTTGGTCAAATATTCTTCAAATATTTTTAATTCATAAAATATATCGTAGAAAAAGTTATTTATGCATATAGTTTCATATAAGCTAATCTAGCGTAACATATTGAACAAAAATGCCAAAAAAGACTCTTTAATTATAACAATTAATTAAATTATATAAAGAAACGTTAGTTGGGGGGCCACAAATTTGGCAGTTATAGAGGCAAATGGTATAATCATGTTATTTGTACTTCTTTTTTCCTTAGACGAAGCATTACTACTTATATTCACATTTCCTAGCTTAGAAGACATCCATTTGTTGTCTCTCACTCTCCTTCTTTTACAAAGAAACTATAGTCCGATATGCAGTTGTGGTTGCCAAAATAACATAGCTCAACCTAAAATATGTATAGAGTGAGGGGACGCTATTTTTAGTCACAAAAATCATTTTCTTTTTAACTTTTACTGAAATAGAATAGGAGTACATACTTATCTCAATAGTGTTATCCAAATCAATTTGCGCATGCATGGAAGTCGGGATCTTTTTTAATGATAGCAATAATGCTTAATTATCATCCAGAACTTATAATGAAGTTTATTAGAGTTGTTTTGGCACAAAGAATGCTTTTATCCCCTATACTAAGCAGGTTGTTGTTTCAACCTATAATTTCTAGAAAATATCATCACATTCAAGCATCAAAATGACAGCTAGGTTGGACATGGGTAAAAAAAGTAATTCGAAAAGCACTTAAAGGTCACTACATAAATCCATGCTGATAGTAGACAGTGGCAAGATATTTTCTCACAATTTTTCGTTGCTGGTTACCCTATTTGTAATGTATGTATGGGGCATATATATTTCTCTTTCTATAGAAGTTGCTTTGATCTGTGTTGTTTTCTCTCCTCTCTACATTGGTGAACTTGTTAATCATTAAATACATCTAATAGAGTTCTTTCTAATGACTTCAATATAGTGTACCGGCGATATCATGCTTTAATAGAACCATCATCTTCTTGTTTACTGTGTTCTTTGAAACTGTGTAAATGATGCTGAGGAAAAGTTGATAAGTGTGTTTCAAGATAAACCTTCATTAGTGACATCTTTTTTACGTTTATACTTCTGCGGTTAATGAAGTCAAATTTAGTTGTATGGAGTTCTCATAAACACTTGCTCCTTTTTCCCATCTGATTTATGGCGTTAAATCACCTTTTAGTTCTCCTATTCTGAGTGACTGTTTTTACATGGAGCTACATTCAGTCTACAAAAGAGAAATAAGAAAGTGTGATTGAGGCTCCAAATGTTGAACTCCACTGCTTCATAAAGCCTTAACATTAATTGTCAATGTAGCAGCTCATGTGCTCCAACTTGGACACTTATGGCCGCAAACTGTGACAAATGTGCTATCACATTATATAAAGCACAGATGAAATTGCAGCAATTGGACATACATTCTCTACTCATTATTAACAACACACATCTTTGGCCAGGGAATAGATTTATAGCCGCATTATAATCAACTCGGAGGTAAAACTTTTCATTGAAATAATTTGAGCAAGCTATGAAATTTATTACTAACAGCTCGCCATTTTTCCAGTATCTTTTCATTATTGAAGTTAAGCTAAAGCATGTTTAATATGATTCCAAAAAGTGAAACTTCAAGCATTGAACTGACCATCAGATGAAAACACTGTACATATTTAGTGTATCCCATGCAGAGGAGGTAGTCATCTTCTCTTTGAACAATCAAGCTGACGATCGTCTAGCTTTCAAATAGCATAATCAGAAGCAGATGGTGTAAGTTACCCAAAATTGTACTATATGAATTCCACGAATATCGTTCAACTGCTATTAAAAGAAAGAAAAAACTTTTTTAGCTATAACATCAAAATCTAAGAAAACAAATAGTAGCTCAAGAAAGTAGAAATACCATTTGGGTTCTCCAATTGAGGCTCTGACATGAATCATGAAATCTTACATTGCCAATACAAAGCATTAAAATACTTGAATAAGTCAACCAAAAAATACAGCAGTTGCAACCCATGTAGCTGTCTCTTTAGCTATTTCTGCAATTCCATCTTCCAATAATCATTAGCCTTCCGGTCTTCATTGGAATCATTGCATTAGTTCTCTTGCTAATGGAGAAATGCAAATGCAAAAAGCCAATGAACAATCAAGCAGAAGATCGTCTATTTTTAAAATATTAAAATCAAAAGCAGATGGGTGTAACTCGCCCAGATTGTATTAACATTAAAAATGATTTCAATATGAATAATTTAACACGTAGGATTGTGCTAAAGCAGGTAAAAACATATAAATATATAGGTACAGTCATTTAAACGCTAAAGAAAGCAAAAGATCAAACCTTTCTTAAAAAACAAACCAAAAATAAGAATGCTTCTTGCAATTTTGAGAACTCAAACAGAGAGCCTGCTAACTACTTCTACATCAGTGAGACATATTTGTCTTCATTTTATGTAAATTCTTCCAATTCATTGCAACAATTATCAGGTTACAAGTAAACACAACAATATATCAATTCTGAATGACATCAGTTATGAATTAATTAAAGCGAATGTTAGGTAGAAAAGAAATAACTTTGCTTTTACCAACTGAAAGGGGTTCACTATTTTTGGATTGTTTAAGGCTAACAGAACCAGCAATATTGAAATTCCCAACAATTTCAATTTTACGCCTAGTTACTCGAAAGCACAACATTGACAAATAAATATAATAAATTAAACATTCTTAAGACTATATAAATTAAAGCAGGAACTACCTAGGTAAAAGTCTTCAATTCGATGAAGGCTACATTGATTGATAATCTTTCTTGGACTTTAGAGAATAGTTGTGAAACAAAAAACTCATGAGGTAGCAAGAGTACCTCAAGGATTTTGTCACGACCCAAAATCAACCGTCGTGATGGCGTCTATCGTGAAACTAGGCCAGCCTCTACTTAACAACTCATCACAGTAAAACTTTGAAAATAAAGACGGAAGCAGTTAATATTAAAGAAAAAGCCTTTTTGAAAACAGAAATAATTCAAAATACGAAACAATCCATCCCAAAACGGAGTGTCACTGAATACATGAGCGTCTAAACCAGAATATAGTCCACTAGAGTGTCTAGAGAATAAAAACTGAAATACAAATAGAGATAAAGAAGGAGAGTCAAGGCCTGCGAACGTCGTGCAGCTACCTCGATAGTTTCTGAACTCTGAAGCCTCAATCAGTAGTCGTCGTGACCAGAAGCGCCTGGATCTGCACACGAGGTGCAAGGAGTAACGTGAGTACGTCCAACTCAGTAAGTAACAAGTCCAACCTTTGGACTGAAAGGTAGTGACGAACTCAACCAGTACAGCTAACAATGGAAATAACGGTGCAGAAACGTAGGCATGCTTTCAAATTAAATAGATAGCTCAAAACAGTAAAATAACCAGAATTGAACAAGGTGAAAAATATAACTCTGATATTTTACATGCCAATGCACATGCTGTAAATGATGCACCATGTTGTCAGCCTCAAATGCTCACACTCTCAATTGCTCAACCAATCGGTACTGTATATGGCCCATACGGCCCAGGGAAGATCCATCCTAGAATATATACATCACTGACCATAGGTCACCCAGTACCGAGAAAAGGCCAATCCAGCCCTGTGGAGAAGATCCATCTCCAAGTATCAAGTACTTCGGACAAGATCCATGTCCAGGGAAAGATCCATCCCTCAATAATATCAATCGCGCTCGCTGGGGGTGTGTTACACACTCCGGAGGGGTTCCTACAGCCCAAGCACTATCATAGCATCAGTACAACCGTTGCGACGTGCAGCCCGATCCCATAACTGTCACTCATAATCAGGCTCTCGGCCTCACTCAACCATCAATCTCTCCAGTCTCACTCACGGGCTCAAATATCATGAAAACTAGCCCGAAACTGTAATTGACGCCCTTCTAGTACAATAAGCCATCCTCCCTCAACTGAGACCAAGATATAAATTTGAGGCATATAAATTAAATGGTTAACGGAAGGAAATCTCATAACTCAGGTGAAAATACAGGTCCTTAACAGAATAAATTCATTCCTCTTCAATCTAGACTAAATCCACGTTGTTGACATCTAAAGAGAAAGGAAATCTTAAATTGACAAATTGTAATTCCAAAAAATAAGACATGATTTCTTTAGTTATTCAGAGAGCCTTGCTTTTGCTCCACAAAATTAATGCTGGAGGAAATATGCTTTGTCCAAATGCCCATCTCAATTAAAAATTACCTTAGTCATTAAAGTACATGTTCGGTGTAACCGAAATAAAATGCCAGACAACTTAATAACATTTGCAAAGATAAATCCATAGCCTTAAGTTTATAGCACATAAGAGTTACTTGAGGGAGTCACTTACTTATAATACCTGGAATTATCTGACTTGAATCCTTTTTACTTTATTCACGCAATCAGATAAGAGCAACATTAAAACATGATCGATAACAAATGGTGAGACTTACCTGCTGCATTAGATAAATCAGGTGATCAAGTCCAGCAATTTTTTACCATAACATGAAAAGTGATTTCTTTCCTCTGAGAATTACTTCTTTCCTTAATCCAATTGAACTTTTAAACTGGCCTGTTTTGATGGATAAAACTACGATAAGATCAAGATAACCAAGTGAACTAAACATTAACCATTTGACAGGAACTCACTTTAAAATAGAGTTTTGTGAAGTCCAATATCCAACTAAAAAAAGAGTGTAAAAAGAAAAGTCATGAATATGAGTATTCAGAAGGACATAGAGAGCAAATTAAAGGTGATTACTATCTTTGTCAGATCAACAAAGCATTGCCATGGAAGTTAGACCAACAAAAGTTAAATAAAGATCTTAATTTTTAACTTAAAAATTCCAAATTCAAGTAAAATCCTCAGTAACTCGCAGCATTATCTAATTGAAGAAAGTAAGGAGGGCAAACTATAGTTGTATAACAGAGACAAAAATGTAGCCTGAAAAGTTATGAAGAGGAATGCAACAATAAACTGAAGGTTCATATAAAACAACAGTTGGCATACTAATGTTAATAAATAAAAGAAAATCATCATATTTCTGTGTTCGAATTCAGGATTTATAGATGACGGGCTGGAACTTAGATATTCAGGCATACCGTCAAACATTTTGGTTGCATTAAAGTTCTTCTATACTCTAGTACTATTTTTGTCTTGATGACGCTTAGTGTTTCCTGCGCTGTAGCAACATGCATATGTATGTAGAGAAAATTTGTACAGACATGTGAACATCTAATTCATAGAACTATACACTCCTTGAATACCATCTAATTCACCCAAAATCAAATATAATTATGCAACCCAAACATGCACTTACATATGTATTTCCAAATATACATGTGAAAATGAAATACACACTCAAACATAAATGTAAAAAACTAAAACATACCTACTCAATTTCACTACAGAGACGAGAGAAGCTAGTTTAACAACTAAAGAAAGAAGAGAAAACTTACCAAAATTCAGAAATACCGCAAAATTAAAGCCAATTAGATAAACTGAAAACAAAAGGGTAAAATTTTGAAGCAGAATCAAAAAGGATGCCTGAGAAAAATAGAACAGTGAACGAAAAAAATGTGCGGAGAATTTGAGAGAGATAAGGATAGAAAACGTCAGATAAAGGTGGCTGTATCGTGCTTCAGCTGATGTTTGGCCACCATCTATTCATCGTCGACAACAGTAGAGAACCAGACTTCAAAAAATTTTATGCTTTTAGCCTCCATTGTTTTTTGGTGGAGAGAGCTGGGAGGAGACATGGAAGAATTTTTGCCAAGAAATGGGTGTGGAATGAAGAAAATCAATGGAAGGAAGGAAGTGGAACTTTCTTGAAGACATGAGTATTGCCCATGCCTACCAAGGGCCCAACATTTTGAATTCTGAAGTCGTTTTGTTCGTGTCTAATATTGCATCCACAGCGACCCTAAAAAACTATAAAGGTTTAGAATAGATATAAGTTCACAAACACATAAGCACAATTCCAACATTAAAAAATAGTGACAAAACGTAGAACAATATTTATTGCCTCCCTAGACTTATTGAAACCGAGCAAATATGTCCATTTCTTCCACTTCCTTTAAATACACTTACAAAATCAAAACCAAGCATATGCCTTATTTGTTCATCATTTCATATCCATCGTCCTACTTCCTACTCCTCCATTCCTTTACTTTCAAATCCCACCAACAACAATGAGTCAACATATAAAGCAATCCATTATAGGCCCTTAAACATACATTCCCTATTCCATAAATTTCAAGCCAGATAAACCAATTTAAATTCAAACAAAAAGATGTTGCTCGAACATAACTTTTAAGAAGAGTTCCCAAATCATCTTAAACCATATTAAGTCTTCCTAAGACATGAAATAATGAATAAAATCTGTTAATAGAAATTCACATGCACAATTTTTTTTTCAATAGCTATTTGACTTAATTCATCCACTTTATGTCAATGTCTAACCCATTCATCAATTTTAGTGCTTTATCAAAATTGGGTTATCATGAGTTCTTACTTTTCTTTCCCTCAACTATGGAAAATGAGGAGTGTGTGAAGAGGCAATTATCAAGAACCTGAAAATAAACTGGCGATTAACAATACATGGAAATATAACATATACAAAAAGAAAAAAAGTAAAGAAAAGGAAGAACAATATGCATTAGGAGCAAAATTAAATATTCATTTTCTTTTTAAGTAAGCAGAATAATAAAAGTCTAACACCTTAAGAAGAAGAAGAAGAAGAAGAGGAGGAGGAGGAGGAGGAGATAGAGGTAAATCAACAAGAAGAAGGCAACATCAATGAACTTGGACGGAAAATAACCTTTATAATGGTGATTCCCCAACGTCTGGTTGGAAAACACAAAATTCAAGGTAATTTTATACATGTAATTGGGAACAGTTAAATAGAAGAAAAGAAAGAAAAGAAGACAAAGAGTAAACAAAGAAGATGTGAGCAAAGATTGAGACAATGATACCTGAAATATATCAGATAGATAAAAAAATGAAAAGAGCTAAGAGTATTATTGAAAGTTTGAAGAAGAACTGGAGTACTCCTCCGATCGGTTGGAATAGAAGAGATGGAAGTCGGAAGTGTAGATGTTTCTAGACCCATGTCGTGTGTGCCAAAAATGAATAGATGGAAGACACTTTTTCCTTTGAGCAAAAAGATAATTTTGCCCTTGGTTGACCATCTTCCCTTTTCTATATAATAGAAATAGAAATAGAAAAGAATATGAATATTAGAGCCGTCAATATGGGCTTTGTCTGTTGGGCTAGCCCAGCCCAACTCATGATTTAACAAGGTTGGACTAGAATTTTTGAAGCCAATTTAAAAATAAGACTTTTAAACCCGGCCCGAATAAGCCTGTGGCCTGTGAGGCTTGATTGAGGTTGGGCTGGACCGGCCCGTGGGCCTAATAAAAATATGTATTTAAGAAATTTAAATATCAAAAGAATATGACACTAAAAATAACAAGAACAGTATCTCAAGCTTAAAGTTTATTAAGCGCATCATATTAAAAGATCAACATCATAAAACGTTAAATAGTTTTTAAAATTTAACTAATTACTATTGCATATAAATTGTAGATGTAGATGAAAGTGAAGATGTTAAGACAACCTTCTCACGAGCGGATTCAAATGTGTTTGATGAAGATAATGTGCTGGATATCCCATAAGCGGCATGGACGTTCTCTTGGATATTTTGTTTTGAGTTTTAACTTTTAGTAAATGAAATATAGTCTTGTCTTTTACTTTTTTAGTGTTTATTGTGATATATTGGAACAGTATAAAAAGTTATTAAATTTTGAAAAAATTTCTAATAAGATTTTTTTAATTTTAAATATTTATCTTTTTTTAGGTTAGAACTTATAGAAGAAAATAAAATTATATTTTAAAAAAAGTTGGGGCGGCTCGTGGGGGCCCGAAGTCCACATAGGACTGGGGTGGACTGACCATTATAAGGCCCATCAAAATGGTGGGCCCAATCCATCAATTGCTAAAGTCCACGTGAACTGGGTTGGACTAGTCCGATCCCGTCCATATTCACAGCTCTAATGAATATTAAATCCGGGTAAAACTAAATCCAAAAGTTACTTTCGAGAAACATAGGAAGATGGAACTCTCAACGTAATTAAGCATGACATATCCTATATAAGGAAATAATTTGGCGTTTGCTCTATTACTTTCTGATGTTCGAGATAATTTATGTATATCTTTGATTATTTTATCGCCTATTGACTATTTCATCCCATGCCAATATTTTCTTATTAATAATAGTATCGTACAACTCTATCCATTAATACAACAACAATAACAATAACAACAACAACAACAACAATCCATTGTATCCCACAAGTGGGGTTTGGGAAGGATTGGACAAATGAAAAAAATCATTTGATTTATATATATATATATATA